GCGCGTGTGTATCTTTGTCTGTCTTTCTGTGTATGTACATTACTGATGTGGTTGCTTCTAATTACCACCGATATTCCTCTTCTGTTGAACACCTCCTTTCAAAACTGTAGTTTATATCTTAATTATTGGCTCCAGATTTCTCACTAGACCAAATATTTCCTTTTAAAAACAAAATTGCTTGCCCTGTGTTCCACTTAAATGCGAAGATTTCCTTACCCTGCTAATAAGACTTCGTATCGTTCCCTGTTTACATTAGAAAATCAAATGGATTTTACCCAAGTCAAAATGTGTCTATATATTCATGAAGAATTGTACCTGTCTAACATGCCAGACTGCTGGAAAGATTAATTAGTTGGTTGTAAAACATTAGGATTATGAGTACATGTAGGGAGAAAAATACCATAAATCTTTTGTAGAAACTTGGTGCCTTAAGTGTGAATCTTGTACTTTCCATCGGTGGTGATACTTTATGCTTTTCATTGTAGGCAGTGTATTGTTAATAAACCTAGCCACATTCAGATCTGCAAGAGAGGCTAAACACTGTAAATTACTTATAGGTGGGAGTGCAAATTTCTTGAAACTGTGCTTCATTTCTGTGTTTTATGCATTTTAAAAAAAGAAAACGGGGATATATCCCTTTTCCTTCACAAATTGAATCAAATTTGATGAAATCCTAAGTAGATACTTTCAGAGCATATGTGAAAAGGTAATCTGTACATCCTTTATGCAAAAGATGTCATGAAGACTCACTTGTTCAAGGGAAGTTGCCGTTGTATCTGCAGAGAAATAGTCAGGAGGAAACAGAAAGTCTCTCTACTTTGGTAGCACCCCTATAACCAAACAGAAGAAAGATTGAAGTGTAGTGTTTACAGACTTTTATTGAAAAAGAACTCTAGGCCTGATTCAAGATTTACCTGAGTGGAAACGATATAGCAGAAGACTAAGCACATACCATTAATCTTCACAAAAATTCACAATATAATATATATTTAGAAATTCACAAGTATAAAAACAAGATTCTTAGTATCATCTGACTTCCTTTTTGAGAATTTTGTCTGTTTTTGTTTAAAATTGGTGGCTTCATATAAAGGACTTCTTCCTTTTGAGTTATGTGCTTGACAGAGTATCTGTTCCATCAACTGCCATGAATCAATGTATTTCTTCAAACATGTTTGTGTGTGTGTATCTATGTGTTAAACTTAAGGTTTGTGAGAACTGGTCTCACATGAAAATGGAGTAATAAGAGAGTGAGATATCACCTATTAGTAAGGCTCAGCAGATGAAAAACACCGACTGCCCTTCTGGCATGATGGGCACATTTTAAAAGGAAAGAGAACAGATGCATGAGTCAGGGCTGAGCAATATTGACTAAATACTACAGAGAAAATATCTGTTCAGCAATTTTCTTGCCTTATTCCTGTGACCTATGAATATTAAAGCAGAGGGAGAAAGCACAACCACCATCACTGCAAAGCAAATGCACATTCACTATCCAAAAATGGAGATCACTTTAGCACACAATACTAGAGACTTCTGTTTGTTTGCTTGGCAAAGCCTCCCGTATGTCTTCTTCAACACCATCTATTTTAATTTTTTATTCCAAGCAGCTATAATAATAGAGTCATTTTGTAGACTGTAGGGAAGGTGGCTATTACAGCCAAAATGCGCTCAATTCTTTAATTTTTCCTGCTGAGAATAAAAATGCTACCTCTCAGAAAACATGAGTTCTGCTGCCTTAACTTGGAACATAATATTTGTTTTTGGAAATATGCAATCAGAATAGTACAAAAGGGCAAGCATGTGTATGTATGACAGAGAGGGAGCGAGGGAGAGATGCATCATGTCAGTGTTAAAAATTAATACAAAAAGTATATGTCAGGCAGAAAGACAAACAACAAAATCCAAGGATGCTATCAGGAGGCATGGATTTTGTAAGGATCACATTAGAATCCAGATTTAGTGATAGGTTGTGCTTAATAATAGGATGTGAAAAACATTGAAATTTGTTGGTTTCAATATCAAGAAGAGGAAGCTAACTCTAATCTCATAATAGAAAGAGGATTTTCCCCCTTATACATTCCAATCATACATATTACAAACGACATATCATATCTAGTTTTCATCCCTCTTTGTGAGTTTATTTCCAACAGAGCATCTTAATTTTATAGAAGCCAGTGTAGAAAATAATTGTCTCATCATTTGTTGAAGCAGAGTATCAAATTTGCTTTGCAGATAATTATAATCCATTTAATTGGCCTCTTGTTTTTTTTTCTTTTTGCAACCTAGCTGAATAAAACAGAGCAGCACTCTAGCAGGCAGCAGAATCCGATACTGAATTTGACTCTGAAATCTACTGCTTGCTTTTACATGCATTAGAACAGGGGAAGATAAACAGGTGCAGAACATTGTCTTTTGACATCTACTCCGATTGTACAACTTACAAGCCACACATAGTCAGCACATAATTCTTTTCAACTTGATTCCTTTAAAAAGCATCGCAGCTTTATGCAGGTCTAACTAGGAAAATAATTGCCTCATAATTTGTGGAAGCAGATTATCTAGTTTCTCTTACAGATAATTACAACCTTTTAACTGACTACTTCTTTCTTGCAACTCCCCTCCCCAAATCACCTTTTAAAACAAGAGCATAAAGGTTAAACAAAGCAGCAATCTAGCAAACAGCCCGGTCCAATTTGTAATCTGACCCCACGATCTACTGTTTGCTTTATAGACATTACGGCACTGCAGTGTAAAACAGGTGCAAAACACTTGATACTGTTGCCCCACTATTATACAAACGACTTGATTTTTTACTAGGCAGATAGTATTTCCTGTGTTCCCTAAGAAACTGCAGAAGCTACAGATTAACAAAGTGGAAAAGCTCAGTTAGTTTTTCGGCCATGACCTTGGCAGCGATAGAGCAGGAGATTGGGTGAGTAAGATGCAGCAGCGGCAATGACATTACGTTCCAGCCATAAAGAAAAAAACGGAACTACTTTAGGACAGATTATTAATTCTGTGGCAATGTCGGCCCTTTTTGCTGCTCTGTAAAGAGCATGATGGAATCCATCTATTAATGAAGTTTATTAATCTTTTCAAAATGTGCTTCCTTTATAAAGCGAACAACCTATTTAACATTTCAAGGGAAAAGAAACATTTTCTCCAGTTAAATACTACCTACTTACCTACCTACCTACCTATCTATATTTCAAGTTATCTATCTATCTATCTATATTTCAAGATTATCATTGGGTATCTTTGGGTGAATGAACCAGCACCATTATTGAGATAAATGCTTTTGAAATATTTTGGAACCCATTCAGTGACATATGTTATGTTGCTGCTGATACAGAAGAGCTTCATTTGAAATGTGGCTCACTGAGCGTCTCCTGTTTCACACACACACAAGTATTGCCACACTGAAATTGTCATTATATGTCTTACTTCTTACAAAAATCACTTGGAGTTATCGCCTTACTACAGAAGAGATTACAGAATATTGCATAATTGTAAGGTATTATTATTACTAGTTACTACTTCGTTCTGTTTATGGGAGGGGGAATTTGACCTGTATAGGCACATTTTAAATCATTATTTTACAACAATGACAAAATGCCCTACATTTAGAAGCATTCACCTGTGACTTCTCAGATATCATTCTACTCAGTGGCCAATAGGAGGCAGTTTTTTAAAAAAATAAGTGAATTACAGACATCAACATGATTCATCCTGTACTCACTTCCAACCCGTTAAACCAGTGGTTCTCAACCTGGGGTCCCCAGATATTTTTGGCCTACAACTCCCAGAAATCTCGGCCAGTTGACCAGCGGTTAGGATTTCTGGGAGTTGAAGGCGAAAAACATCTGGGGGCCCCAGGTTGAGAACCACTGTGTTAAACAATCTGTGTGAATTCCTCAGTAAAAGTACTTTGAAAAGGGCAAACATTGTGAAGAAAGCTGACCTACAGACTTCAAAATCCATATCTATATGGGCCAAATAATGTGAACTCACTTTTCGGCTGTTGCAGGGAGTCCACCAAACATGGCTGGATTCACATTAAGAGCACTGTATTCACCTGTTAATCCTGTTCAAGGGGAGATGAGATTTACTCAGGAGCTTCCTGGAAGCTCCATAATGATCTTAGAGTTTTGGAAGCATGGACAGCTGGATCAATAGACTACTGTTGTGTCTATTGATTCAGAGGCTTTCTATCAACATTGCTTCTGGTCACAACAAGGTGCCCAGCCCTGTGACCAGGAAAAGTGATGTCGACAGCAAACCTCTGTGAAAGAGCTGCTTGTGCCTGGTAACACATTGGTGTGATGGCAGCTGCAATGCGCTCTTAGCCCAGCCAGCCAGCCAAATGCAAAGAAGAGCGCCAGAGATATTCCCGGGCTGCACTGGGGCAGCTCTGGAGCAATTGACCTCAAATTAAGGGTAGGCTTTCCCATAGGTAGATGTGAGTGTATTCTGTATATGTTTTAGTTTGGTCCCTAAGATTAGTAATTCAGTGCTTAAGTAAATCAGCATAGTCCCTTCACCTCATGGCTTGCATTGTCTTGTTTCTTTACACACTGCTCTTGAAGTGAATGGATTGCAAAGGCATCACCAAGAGTCTAGGATAGCTCACAATGGAATACATGGTTGCCTTCTCCCAGGTGCAAAAAGTTAAGATTTCACACTTCTTAAATAAAAAAAGAAGAATTTAAATTAGTAAAACTTTATATTAGTAAAATGTCTGTCCATTCACAGTCTCTGACAGTCTCTGATATTCTGCGTGAATATATCAGAATAATTTGGGAAAAGCAGGAGTCTAGAATGCATGGCATAGTTCTCATCTTTTCAATGACTTTGGCAACCTCTTCAGGTTGTACAAAATGTGAAAAGGATCCATTACAACTGCTTGTATAAACTGTGGCAAATATGTGCAAATTTACATATTGTTTTCAATGGGCTATTGAGTGGACTGCATTTTCTTCTTGTTGGCCAAAATTTAATAGGACTTCGACCATCTGAAAGAACCCTGTGGTTGAGAACTCTGTACAAATGCAATAGTGGTGAAGAAGCATTATTTCATCAAAGAATGGTCACTTCCAAGGAAATGGCTTTCAAATCCAGCCTGATGAGGAAACTGAGATTACTACAAGGTGTGTGTGTGTGTATGTGTGTATTTTACCTACACCTTGAATTTTCCATGTATCTTGTACATGCAAATGAGATAACTTCACATATTACATTTGTTCTTGTAGTTACATAGTTTGCATAACAATGAGAAAGTGCATGTTTAGCATTGTGTGAGCTGTTTAAAAATGACCTTAAGACGCTGAGATAAAGGGCATCTGCACTATCCATCCCACATACTAGACAGTGCGTACAACTTCAGTTTGCTTTAGCAACAGGCCAGGCATTTAAGCTTTCCTTTTTTAAAAAAAAGTTGTTTATGCTTCTCTCAGGACAGTAGAATGTAGACTACAAAGCAAGAAAAACAACTGGTTTTTACCTTCCTTTTGGAGTACAAGACAGCATAACAAAACCACTCCATGCTTCCTGAATATGACTGATTGTAGCCATCCATGTGCATCATTTGTGGGGAGAGGGCGATAGTGATAGACCAGAAAATTTTGAGAATTAAAATAGTTGTAGGTTTTTGCAGCAGCTGAACCACGCAATAGCAGAGGTCATCCAAGATGCAGAATTTTTTTGACAGGGCTGGGTAGAAACACGAAGGTATTGCTTTATAACTATATAGTGATTGTCAGTTTCCCTGTGACCTGAGTGTTAAGATTAGTGTTCATCTAAGTGCTATGTAGCTGTACCTCTGTTGATGTCTTTGTAGCAAAGCCAAGTTTGTCTTTGCCAAGCCAAAATTGGATTCTGATGCTCTTATTAACACAGCATATTAAAGCCATCTCTGTGACCATTGATGCAAGAGAAGCCAGTTGCTTAAAGAAACCTGTCTCTAACTATAACGTTAACCCAGTCAATCTGTTATTCTTCCCAAAGCACAAATCTTTGCACCAGGTAGAATGGCCTTGCTTGTGCAGTGGTAAGGGATTATAAAATTATATCACGGGAAATTACTTTCTCTCTGTGTTCAGAACTTGTGAATATTTGACAATCCCGTTTTCAGTTATATGCTGCCACTGCAGCTCCAGTCTGAAAAATATTAAGGTCATCAATATTTTGCTAGGTTTTATACACTTTTTTTCTTAAATTGGTTAAGTTAGATAAGAAGTATTCCTCGTGAGTCAGAAGTTGTTGGCCCTGGATATGATTACAGTTCTTTTTGACATGGGGATTCTAAAGCTGAATGAGTGTAAATATGTATTAGTCTTATAGTATAGGATCCAAAGTTTCAGCAAAGTAAAGTGGGCACAGAGAATAACATTCAATAATAATTTGTTATGTGTCTGATCTTTTAAATAGGAGATGATTTACAGTCGAACTTGAGATTCCTGACTACCATGCAAAACATTTGCAATAGTAACTAATCTTTGAAGATCATGCTTCTTGATTGCGAGTAGGAAGGCAGAGGGCGTGCAGAACCCATGTTGTGCAGGAAAATGTTTTGGATATGCTCAGAAGCTCTGAAGACAGTTTTTGATGAAGAACTCATCACCCTTGTTTCACTGATTGATCTTTGCAGCCAGTCACTTATTATTCAGCATGTTCTAGCTGAAATAAACATATTATTGCTTATTAACCTTGAGTAAACAAAGTGCTTAAAGGGAGAATGATCAATGTGCATGCTGGCAGTGGGAAGAAGAGAGCAGAGGTGCAGATCAGTGACATATTTTAGGAAAACTTTCCCCAGACTTTCCATTTCAAAATATATTAGTGTCCCATTATCCTCAACAACATGCATATTATGAATTTTGTAAAGTATTCTGGGGGGAAAAGCCTCCCATGTTTGTAGAAGAAAACTTTTAAACAATGCTAAGGACATTTTGAATGAACTAATAAAAATAAACACAAATGCACAATTCTTTATAAATCTTGTAATGTGCTTTGAAGTCTAATAAATAATTAACTAGCAACAATATAGCAAACTCTGTGATTGATATTAGCCCAAATAACAAATTAACATTTCTATTAACAAGGACTAACTTTAATAAATTATTGTTTCAAACCTGAGAACTTTTTGCATGTGGAGCTTTTCAAATTGTGGAAAATCACATCAAACTAAAACTGGAATTTGACATATGCCAAGGGTGTGTGAGGATGGTTTTGTTTTGTGCATAACGGCTCTGAGAAGTCAAGCTAACATCCCCTAAAAGCAGTAATTTTGCTGACCAGTGTTTTATCACATCTCTAAAAATGGGTAATTATAATGAGAGGTGTTGCATTGTAATCTCCTTTTCCTCAAATGGTCTGCAGTTTTCTGCCAGACTCTTTATTTGATTCCAAAACCTAATTAAACAGCTATTCTGTCAGTTGTATTTCCTTGGTGCTATTATTCTTTTGCAGTGTGGATCCTGACCTAAGCCTATTTAAAGTAGATCCTAATGTAATGACTAGTTTAACTCTTAGGTTTCAATATTTCTATAGGTTTACTGTAAATATGGTTGAATTTGGGCCAAATCTAATATATGTAGGTAATCTTGTTCATTACCATTATGAGCTTTATTTCTCCAGTTCAGCTTAACATCATTCAAACCCAGGTTTAAAGCAACTATGGGACTATACAGACATATAATATGGTGTGGAACTGGCATGCAAAATGCCAGTTCTGGCCCACCTTGTGGCTGGACAGGGGCACTAGGAACTGCCACGGTGGCAGGAGGGCATTCCCACTGCCCAGCTGTGCCCCACCCCCTCACTCTTTCCAGGTTCCTTTGCCTATCACATGGCACAGAATCAGGACAAGAAGCTGCTGAAAATGATCGAGGTTCTTTTGTCATCCTTGTAGCTGACAGCAACAGGGTGGAAGAGGGCAGGATGGCTCACCTCTGATTCCGAATAAGAATTGGCAGTGGATGTCTTCAAATCTGGACATGAGAAAGCTCGAAACTTGGTGTAGGATCCCTGTGTGTTTATTTTCACTTGGGGTGAAGCCATGTTAAGCAGTTTTTAGCAGGTTCAATCAGATCAGCCTGTGTACAGTTTGTAGATGCCCATAGGTTGATCTGTTCCCAAACTTACCTAAAAAGTCAGTGTAAATGGGACCTATGGGAAGGGTATCCACAATCCACATATAAACAAGCATTTCAAAATGTTCGTTCAAAGACTTGAAAACATGATTATATTTTACAAGAGATTCTGGTATTCAGAGAAAAAGAATTATCTTGAGTTTATTGAGATTCATTGAGCTATATTAAGGAATGCACCTTTCACAGTATTGATAGTCATAACCTTAAGCATCTGTATATGATTCATGTAGATGCCATAATTCCATACTGAGTAGTAGCAGCAGAAAAATATTTTTTAGTTCTTTCATAAAGGAAAAATGTGATTATTTCTTTCAAAATGTATATAGTCTATGCTTAAAACTTCTTGCTTTTTTTATAGGCTTGTTTTGTTCGTGTCTAAAATGGGATGGTGGACTTCTAATTAGTTTTGTTTCATGTTATTGTATATTTAGCTGACCATCGGCCTGTCATGAAAGTCAACAATAATAAAAATGCAAATCATTGTGAACAGCATATGTTGCAGCGAGAGAGCATTTCAAAGATTGTTTATCAGTTGTTCATTTTCTTCTGTCAGATGTTGAAATCTTTTGCTTTCCATCATATTGCAGGGAAATGCTGTTTCACTGATAGTGTCTACTTGTAGCTAAGCTGTGAAAAAGTAAAAAATTCATTTTGTAAAAGCAGTTATCACACTGGAGTGCTGGAGGCTGAGGTTATTGGTCCTTTTTAACAGACCCAAAGATAAGATGTCTAATTTCCTGACCTACTCTATTTGTGCATACGTGTGTGTTTGTGAGTGGTCTCCGTAAAACATTTAATACAAAGAGAAAGTATGGCCAGCTGTCTTTCTTATTCTTCTGTCATATGAAGATATAAGAATAGTTTAATGCATCCTGCAGAATGTTCACAAAATATAGATTTAATTAAATGAAGATTTAATACCATACCAAAAACTTAACTATTAAACTGGAACCATAACCATTTACAAACACTCTTAAATACAATATATTTGTTGCTGATATAATATGTAGAAAATTTAAATGAAGAGAATGCGGGAGAATGAGGGAAGTTTTATGATGAAAAAGATTTCAAAAAATTATATTAGATCTCTATCTAATTCTTCTCTTTTTTCCTATAAAGAGGACTAGTATTGGCAAATGTCAAAGATCAGTTCTAGTGTGGACATTTTCCTATATGCATGATATTTGGGATTATTCCTGATGGTCATTCTATTTGAGATGCTGTTAGAACAATATAATCACTGCAAAAATTTTCCTGTATCTGATTTTTTCTGAGGATGAATTTTAAAAACATATAAGTGATTCATAAAGAAGTAAAATATGGATCAAAAACAGTCTCATTTATTCCTGGAAACTTTACAGCTTCTCTTTAGCCACCATGGTGTTTTGGCTGTTTAACCACCCATGTTGTCTGCTGGCTCCCAGTGCTTTTTCCTTGCTATTCCCAATGAGGGGTTGAGGAGCAGATGTTTCATTTTTCATTGTATTGGGGACCAATGGAAAATTGGTCACCAATACCACAAAATCTTCCCAAGCAATTGATGTTTCATTCTAGACTACTTAGAGAAGAATCATGACTTAGCATGTTAAGAGTAAAGAGGTCAGGCACTGGAAATGACATGACAGCCTAATGAAGGCCACCACAAGGAGGGTCAGAGATGTAGAGGTTTCAGAATTGTTTGTCTCCTAAAACTATGTCAGATTAGTTCTGTGTGTCATAAAACAATCATGGAGCTGATCTGGTTCCTCTATGAATTAAAGAGCATGTCTAGATGTGCCCATATATAAGCATAGGGGCATAGGTCTAACATTAGTTCCACTATGCAACTGTATCCACATGATAGCACAACATGAATATCTACAGAATATCTTTAGATTTTTTTTAAAAAAAATACACAAACGTAGTATGCATATAAAATGCAAAGGTCTGATTGTACCGACATCTCTTCCCCAATACAATGCCTTGGAAGTAATGCACCATCTTCATGGATTGTTTTG